GAGCACGGAATAACGGCAGCTCCTTTGGTGACCAGTTGCAGTGAGGGTTTGCTAGCTTCAATCATGCAAGTTGATACTACTAGATAGTTCATGACAGATTTACGGGAGGCTTCAGGACTTAGATAGACTATGACAGACCAAATCTTTCTACCTTCACATCCGATCATTTAGCAGCTGACACATGTTGGAACAGATTTGAGGCCTTTGAACATCGACGTGTTCCTTCGATGCACTCAGCTGCCTGCAGGAGAACCATGTGCTGTCCTTGAAGGCTTTGCCACCAGAGGAGTGAACAAAAACCACTCGATTGGTGCGCTGGGTTTTGACATGTTTTGACAGCTGGGTGATGGAGTTTCTGGCGCGCCAGATTTTCGGTGTTCCTGCCCCAAATAAACAGTTATTTGATGATACTTTGATCCCAAAAGAGATCCAACATGTTCCAAAGACCTTCTCAGGTGCGGTACGCCTGGACCCTCCAAGCTTCGCAAAAGGATCTCCAATGACCCTCTCAAAGGGGATCGTGTTTTTCCTTCGACCTGCCGTTCCGTGGCACGGCGTCACGCGACCAGCCTGGCTGGTCGCTTCGTCCCGGCCGTGCATGTGACTTTTGGGCTTCGTCCCGACTGACTTCCTCCGTTCGTTCGACACCCCGTGGGGACACGGTGACTCCGACTTCCCTTGGTGAAGCCACAAGTCGGGTGGAGCGGTGGACCTTTGACTTCCATGTTACCCCCGAAGCTGAGGCCTTTCATCGGCCGGGCAACCCAGATGTTGGAGGCCAATGGCCAAGGAGTTGAAGTCTGAGACAGCGATCTTAGACACTGTAGGCAAGCACATTTGGGCCGATAGACATGCACTCTTTCTTTCATCCTGGGAGTGGAAAATAGGCCACTGGAAGACTGGACCCGGCCCTCCAGAAAAGACTTTCCAATTGTGAGTCACTGAATCACTCCAGAAAGAGACGCTAAAAAGCAAAGTCGGTCGGACTGGTGCGAGGAGGGTGCTGTGATGAAATGAGACATGCCACATTGACACACTTTGACACACCCACATCCCATAAGGAGGTAGATAAAGGCCATTAATGCATGGGGCAATAGATGGCATAGTCCCCCAAAGGCGCCCATGGGATGTTTTTGGCCACGTTGCCCTTTGTGTGGGGACTGCTGTCACCCAAAAAAAGACACCCGCAAAAAGGGGTCATGCCGTAATATGGCAACGGCTTCGAGGTGCCCTTGGATTGCCTCTTGAGCAGTTTGCACGCATTGGACTATGCGCGGATGCCGAGATAAGCAGAGGGGAGAGACAAACTGGTAAGGTATAGCACTTCCGTTTGAAGTCCTCGGTTTCTTCACATCGTGATTGGTTGTGTTTAAGTTGTTTAAATATTGGATTTGTTCCCACTCTTGTGTGGCGACAGCCCCTCAGAAGCAGGCAGCAAAGATTGGGACCAGTATACGTTGAACGTGGATCAGACATGACTCCGGCTTTCGGGGCAGGATTCTTGTAGGGCTCAGCTTCAAAGGTGCCCTCTTCGAACTCCAGAGAGTCAAAGACATCACGAAACCCCAGCGACATGGTGTCACTCTTTGCCCCTGAGGCCAATTCAGCAGGCGAGCGCGTGGCTCCTTGCTGAACGGTTGGACCAACACGGTTGTGACACATGACAGATATGGGCGAAAAACTGTTGCGACGACGCCTTCGAAGTGAGACACGTTGTGGAGGAGACCGAAAAGGTGCACTCACTTTGGGTTCAACAGCTACACTCAGCCTCATGTAAGTCAAAGGCTTCATGTAAGACTAGGCAAACGTAGGTCATAGTTGCGGGAACGTTTGGACAATATGGAAGTAGACATGATTTGTTTGGCTTAGTTTTAGTTATAGTTGAAACATGTCCGGAACATGTTAAGGAAACCATGTTCACCCTCGCATACCGAAAGGCGCTCATGTGTTTTTTTAAACATGTTCTTCGAAGAGATTTGCCCCTTGGACTTCTATGCGGGGCACATGGTGATTTTTTTTGCATGGATGCATACTCAGTCCGTGGGTAACCTTTAACCTTTATCGGTGTTCGTTTGCCGATGTGAGTGTGAGTGGGAGTTTCAATAAGATGACATGTGCATACTGCATACTACGTGCGTTGTGCGTTGCGCTGCGTTGCGCTGCGTCGCGTGGTGTTGCGTCACTCGGCATGTACATAAAAAATAGGCCCAAATAGCATTTATTGTGACGTAACTGTAGCAGATTGTATGTTGCAGTGGAAGCTCCTTTAATCTAAGACTTATAGTCTATATAATTAGTAGGTTCTAAGGTCTTGACTGGTTCTAAGACGGTGGACTAGGTCCGCGTTTCTGCATGTCCCCCAGATGTCAACTCAATGAAAATACTGTGTTGCATTCGATCGGATTCTCATCAAATTGTCATCGTCAGGTGTGGCACCGGCAGAGGCCTACGAGGAGTCGTGTCTTGTTCCCCCGGAGAAGACCAGTTGCCCATTGCTTTAGAGGAACAGCCGGTTTGGAACAGAGTGACCCCTTGAGGATGATAGGTGATTCCAGGCGAAGATGCTTCGCTGTCAAAGATGCTAAGTGATGCCACCCTGTTAAAGCCCAAGCCATAGTTACCCAAGGGCTTTCAGCTGCCTGTTGATATTTGTTTCAGGTGCAGTTTCGAGAGAAAAAGGTTCATTTGTTTGTCATCCTGCACTAGATGCGGGGTCAAACTTATTGCCGACCACGATCCCAAACTGTTCCAAGATACGTTGGAATCCTTTTAGCACATCAGGAGCCAAAAACAGATTCACCAAACACCAGCATTCCTTCCCTATATACGTACCATCTCCATTCCATAGTTGCCCCAAATTGATCTCATGTCACCTTGATCCTACCGTTCAGCTTGACCCTCGAGTAGGATCTCGCACTTCTAGTAGGAACTCACAGGTGGGTTTTCTCGTTCAAAGGTTCGTTTGCAAATTGCATCGTCGGCTTCTGTCGGATGGAGCACGGAGCAGGGTGCCAGTGCATGGCGTATGTCAGCCATACCTATTTCAGACCTCAAAAACATGGCATCTCGCAAAGGGGTGATGCGGTGACGCAGGATCTCAAAGATAGACACAAATGCCTACATGATCCTTCTTAAGAGGGAATGCACTTTCTACCTGTAGTTTGGGCTGCTAGAGCCATCTACAGCCTTATTTCCGAGGAAGTCTCAGTTTACCGTCGCCTGGAGGTCGGATAGGTGGGTTGAGTTGTCCCGAGTCGGCATCAATAGCACCCACCAATTAACTTAACCCTGACAGCACCGACCGATGAAATTCCAATTTGGGCTGGAAAACATTTAGCTAAGTAGATTTTAACATATATATATATCAATTTGTTGCGCACACCCTAATTAGGCTTATACCCAAAAAGCATTGTATCATGATCGAACGTTATGCCAGAAAGGTGTGCACTTCTTTTGGTTTGCCATTGTTTTCTTTGCCGGCTTGCTGTCACCCAGTGCTTTGACAAAGTGTCTTGGAGCCCAGTTCTGAGCCTGGCTTCAATTTTTGTTGCTTTGGCCCGAGACTCTTTCAGACGTCAAGTAAAGAAGACACAACATGACACACAAACTGATTCCACTGGCACCAGCAAACAACAAAAACAGGAACAATTCAACTGATACAAAGGGAATGACCCAGTGCCGGCTGCACCAAATGAAGGAACGCTGGGCGGCACATGGCGAGAGTGTCAAATCAACGCTTGCAAGCTAGCGATGCAGCATCACAGCAGCATCACAGGGCCTTCCAAATGGAGGATGCCCACATTTAACCCCATTTCAAGTGACAAAGAGGGGTTGATGAACGTATTTGTCCACTTATTTGTCCATATTCATCCAACCAAGAACCCGACTCCACGTCCCAGCCATGACTCGCTTTGACCAGTCAGGCATGTCCCGACTCTCCACCCACTACGGCTGGCAAACCGGCTAGGTGGATCAAACAGAAGATGCGGAAGATGTTCCTATTTTTTTCTGTGAAACACCTTAGCCTACATCACTCCAAGTCCCACATTTTCCGGTAGCACCTCTTGGTGTAGCATGCGCTGCTGGGCTGACGCGTTTTTGCCCGACGTTGTCCGGCGACCCAGTTGGAAAAAGTTTCCAGCCTGGAAGTTCAACAGAACAGATATGAGGATTTAAACAAATCTATAGTGTTCACAGAGACGGCTCAGGGATGAGTCATGCCCGCCAGAGAGCGAGAGAGAGAGAGAGAGAGAGCGAGAGAAAGAAACAGAATCTATAGTGTGGGTCGCCCCCCGGTTCCTTTAAGCCTGTAAAGGGCAAGGGGGGACTAACCATGCACATCTCCAATGAGTTCCTACAATTGAGGAGATGAAGAGATTCGTGGCTGCTTTGCCCATCCCCCATGTCCCTCGTGGATCCGCTGGTCCGTTTAGGTTGGTCATGGCAGAGGTCGGGCAGAGAGGAAATGGGCCGGCGGGGCAGAGAGGCCGTTTTTGCATGGCATCGGTGGGTTGGCGATGTGTTTGGGATGTGCTTGAACTTATGTACAGAAAAACGCACATCTCTTTGGTACCAGATTTGACCAACTCTCCCTGGTCGGGCGGGTGAAGACTAGGCTTCCCGACGTCAAACAAGTCCAGGCCTGACCCTCTTATATGATTATAGTTTACTCTACATTCTGGCACACTGTGGGCCAGAATGTGGGCTAGCGTCCCACACTAGGCGAAACACCTATGTACAGTGACTGGGATCTATGCAATAAGGGATGCCAAGCAAAGTAACAACCAGCCAACATTTGTTTGTCGTCTTCCATTTTCTTTCAACACTTGGTTCAAACAGTGACACGCCTATTGATCACCTTGGACAGCCTTTGTCTACCGAACTGTTCCATATTAAGAACACAGGTGATGAACTGAATTGCTCATGTTCAACCTGGAAAGAAATGGTCTGTCGATGTCTTCAATCGATCATGCCAGGTGATTCGGCTCTTGGATTTCCGGATGTACAAGACGGAGACTGCGGCTCCTGGGGCCATTTGGGGCACCCCTCCAGGGCCCTGGAGAACGACCGATTTTCCCATATTTTCCCTCATTCCCATTGCTGCCTTTGGATGAATAAAGCAATTTCATGCGTCCCTGCCAGAAAGGAGTTTTACCCCCGCCATGTCGCACAGATGGAGAGTTCGATTCATCAACAGTCAGCAGGCACAAGCGGAATGAAGAGGATCCGGCTCATGACTCTTCTTGAGCAACACTCCGCCAGCGATGAGGTCTATTACAGCTTGCAACTCAGCAACGGCCGCGAATGCTGGATGGTCCAACGTCGCTACAGTGAGTTCCTCAGGTGGGGAAGACGCTTCCACCGCCACCGGCCAGGGCCGGCGGCGGTGTTGTCAGAACTGGGGCAGAAATGGGAGCGACCAGGGAAGTGTGGATTGGTTTTAATTTTGTTGGAGGACCATGTTCCGAGGACCAAACAGGTGGTGAACTCCACTTCCATGATCATTTCAGGGGTTGTATACTCTTTGGGTGGCTTTTGGTCCAAATCTCAGCAGTGGTAGTTGATGGGGTTAGCCCAAAAAGAGGCCTCGAGAATGTCTGGCCAGCGGGCAGGGGAAGATTTGAATTCGACCGCTTTTGGAGCAACCAAGATCGAAGCCATCACACTCCAAACATGACACTGGCAAGAGTGTGGAGGCCAGAAATCACATGATCCCCGAATGATACCATGCCCATCGGCGCGGTCGATTCGGCGCGCCTGGCCCGGTCATCCCGGGCGCAGATGCCACGTGAAGCTCCTGGAGCTTTTCACTCGAGAGCAGCTCCCCAACCTTCCACCCAAGGCCCCGTTTGTTCGGCTCGGCGAGCCCCTGGGGGGTCGAGCCTCGCGGGGCGAGGAGCGGGTTTCAGCAAGGGCGCCCATCAACCACCACTCTACTGTAATTAGCTGCATGCTCGTATTGGGGCGGAGCTGAGGTGGGGGGCCCAACAGTTTTATGAAGATGTTTCTCAGGAAAAGTCCTGGTGGGTATACTTATTCTAGGCACACCTGTTTTTCATGTTCATGAATGTTCATGAGACATTTTCCAGAGAACTTCCAATATACTAATCATGGACGTGGATCATGGACTGGACAAACTCACCATTTGTTGCAGTGGGATAGCTTGGTCCGTTCCAACTTTTGACCTTTACTTTCACGTCCACATTGGTCATGATCACTCTCATTTCATCCCCGAGACGCAGCCCACCCCGAGACCGGCTGCGCCCACGCGCCCATGTGTCCGGCCCCACACCACATCCGCCCTATACCGGCGCCTAACCCCTTGGTGCTTTGCCAGACTTACACTACTAATGGGACTGCCATACTGGCACTAGCCCAACTCTTCGGTTGGAGGCCATCGCTACTAGCTTGGCCCTACTCCCTCCCACTTCCAGCCTCGACAGTCCCAGGTGGCGTGATCTGTAAATATGACAGTCCCCTGGAATGACAGTGTTTGGGTATACCTTCCTGCCTCTGTAAAACGGTGCGCGGTGGCCACCGGCCCGGAGCTCAAGCGCCTATACGCCAAGCGTGACAAAGGAGCCCTTCTGGCAGAAGGTCTTCGGAGCTCAAGCGCTGCGGGACGACTGGGTGGAGGAGCGCTACGCTCGACTCTTCGGCTCCTCGGCGAGAGGGCTGGTACTCGGATGGTCGAAGGAGGGTCGAATGATGGTGGAATGGGGAGAATTGATAATTTTTTAGGAGGAGGGCAATTTTTTTGTTGGAGGATGCTTGGGGGAGGGGGCGTCAGATGAACCAGAACTAAGATTTGATGGCACATATGATTGAATTATGGATTTCGTCGATCCGGAGAAGCATGGCAAGGAGTTGAAGCACCCGAGACGCATGGGTGCTGGAGCATTTCGCATGGTGCTTGGAGAAAGGGATCTTGGGGCCTCCCAGGCCTGGGACTCATTGCGGTCCAGTTCTCCATCAGTGAATTGATTTAGGACCCCAATGAGGCATTTAGGACCCCAATGATTTAATACCTCAATAAGCATCAATTCCTATAATACCTATATTATATATATAATTCATAGAAGTTCTCCATTGGGGTCATTGAATATTATCAGGCATTATATATATATAGTTACTATATAGGGATCCAGTACCTTCTCAGGTTAGGTACGACTGGACCCGACGTTTTGGCACCCTACATAGTGTCGAACACATCACCGAATCTGAGAAGGTACGACTGGATCCCAATATGGGAGTTATTAGTGAGTCAGCTCCTTGGAGATGCACCCGTGTTGCGGGGGACACTTGGAGATTCCCGGTTCATGAGAACTTGCCAAGAAAATGTTCGCCACCAAGCCTGAGATTGGAAATAGCAGTGCCGGACCAGCCTAGCAGTACTCCTACCTGGTTTGTGCAAACGCCGATTATCGAGGATACATCGTTGGCTTGCTGGACATGGAAGGCGGGGGGACGTGCGGTCAGTGTTTTCTTTTGCATTGCGCCTTCCTGCAGTTTCGGTTTTGACCCACCACCGATTGACACCAAAGTTGGAAGGTGTCAGATGTGCAACGGTTGGGCCGTACAGCGGACCTTTCAGTCAGGACTGACTCCGCGACCTTTCAGGTGAAGTGATCAACTAAGCAGTTTAGATTATCTTTTTCATGCCTCCCATAGCCGCCACTTCCTCCAAAATAGCTGTAACTCCCTCCCCCAAGTCAAACCCCGGGGCCAGCCCCCGCATCCGCGGCATCTTCGCCCGATGCGCCACGTACCGATGCACCGTCGGCCCAGCTGTTCAACGCACCGACGCGCTTCTGGAGTTCCTCAACGCGCCCGATGCCCGACGCCACGACGAGCCCGCGGCGGATGAGCCCGGCGCAGCGGGAGCCGTCGCCGTGATCCGTAGCGCCGCCTGGGGCGCAAAAGGAACGCCGGACGGTGCCGTGTTTTGGGTCGTTCGCCGTTCACCGGATTTTTTGTTAAAATGCATCAATGCATGTGTTTCTAAGGTGGGGTGTTGTTGGGCCCGTATCAAAGGTGTGAACTACGGCTTGTTAAATCAAGATTAGAGAGAAGTTTGTGAAAGATTGTGTTTCATTGAGGCTTGTAATCAGGTTCACATATACAAGCAGAACCACCCGATTGCGTAGTTTGAGATTTGATTGACCCACCCAGGTGCACTCCATTGGAATGCGGCGGGCTACATGTATGCCCTTGGTTCAACCACGTCATGTAGCGCGATGCAAGGTCGGTACAAGAGTGGTACAAGTTCGACCGGGGTCACTACCTTCGGTCGACCATGGAAGTATCCATTCCGGAGAACATCGGGACAGCCACGGGACATTAACCAACGATTAAGTCAGCGACGCGAAGCGAGTGGTCGCGCGTCGCCGCTGCCACGCGCGGACCGAGGTGCGCGTGCGTTTGACCGAGGAGCCGGGCGGCGTGGAGGCGGGAGTCGGGCGAAGCTGAAGTCCCAAATCCAAATCCAAAGAAGGGGCAAACAATCCAAACTCTATAGGTCGTTCTGAAAATGCCGTTCGCGATGGTCGGTCTTAAAACCCATATCAAAGGCTTTGTTTACTCCCTTGGTGTGGCTTTGAACTTTTAAATGTCGACGCCGGATTAATCAAGCCCCTGCCTTCAAGGTCAACAAGGTCAACAAGGTTTGGGAGTGGAGGGATTGGAGACCACATCCCCTTAATAAAGATGATGACCTGATGATGGATGATGAATAATGACAAGATTGGGAAAGATTGGGATTGGGATGATTGGGATGATTAGGAAAGAGATGAAAGAGATTGGAAGACAAGATTCTTTCTTTGATTGGGATAATTAGGAAAAGAAAGAGGATTGCAGGATGAAAGAGAGGAAAACAAGATGGAGGCCAGAGGGTGGGCTTGATGAATAGGGGAGGGGTCCCTACTATTAGGGGGTGGTAGGGCCTGTGTGAAGGGTACCCTTTGTGAGCTTGAAAACCTTAAGGTTTTGATAGCGTTTTAATAAGATAAAATGCAATAATGTTGCTAGCAAAATGTTTGGTTTTTAACAGGGAAGGATGCCATAAGAAAAAACAGGATAATGATAATGACAATGACAAGAAAAAGAAAGCAGAAGGATGATGATGAGAATGAAGATCAATTCACCAAAGACCAGAAGATATATGATACTGCCCAAACAGAAAAAACATGTAATTTAATAAGTAAATATAGAGCCATTATACCTAATTGTACCCTTTTTTTCTGGTGGAGCAGGGCTTGATTAATTGGGGGAGGTTTCTGGCAGAATTGTTTTTATTATTAGGGTGATGTACCAGGGTTTAAATTAGTTCAGTATTGGGGGCTCGAGCTGGGCTTGATTAATAGGGGAGGTTACTTAATCCTTTGTCAACATTACCCAGGTTGAAACTCAGGCTATTCTCGTTTTGATTTAAGACCTAGCCATACACTGTGCGGCAAAGAGTTTGTTTTGATATGTGTGATCCACGCCCTACTATACCAGCACCCTCACTGCCAGGTCACCACCTAGCTCACCACCTACCTTTAAGTTGCCAAAAGCCTCCAGACTTGTAGAGTCGGGTGCTGGTAGATGGTTCCCTTTTGAACCGACTCTCGCACCAACCTGACCGTCCTTCAAATCCTGTTGAGCTTGATCATGGTTTGAAAACACATGTGTAGCTTGGGACTTGCGAAAGGTGTGTTCTTTGGATGTCATTTGGGTGCAATTGGATGAATGAAGTGAGTTATGGTTCTCTTTTCTTCACACCTCACGTGACGACGTGAGGTGGTCATCCGTGCTGATGCGCCGGCGCGGTGTGCAGCGCCTGGCACGGGAATGGGATCTCGTGCGTTTCCAGTAGAGCTTCGATGGCACTGACACCCCAAGAGGGTTTTCATATATTGCGGGGTCCATATTTTCACCACCGACCTTGGGGATTTTGGCCATCTATTCTTGAGAGTTGCTTCATGTGCCAAAGATTTTGCCGACTGCCAAGGAGTAGCATGGTTTGAACAAAAGCATGTCGGCATGAAACATGTGCGACGTGATTCTTGGTAGCTTGATGCTTGTTCGTGGTTGTGGAATTGGTGCTTGCGATCTGTGTGTTTGTGGCTTATACCGTATACCTGAGTGATCAAAAGCATTGAATAACAACATGAGAACCTTCGTGCAGTATTCTATTCTGATCCCTTTGGTACCGAATCTCCCAACCGTCTTTGACTGAAGCCTATGCAGCACACCTGCATCAGACAAGATGCCTTTCCAAGATCAAGCAGAGACAGATGTTTGTCCAATGAACATCGTGGTCCTGGTGTGCCGAAAAATTATCCATAAGTGGAGTGTTCCACTTCCTGCCCTCCCGGGCCCTGTTCTGCTTCCAGCGGTGAATCTCCGTTGAACAACAGCATCCTGAGGTGCGCTTGGCGCTACGGCCCTTGGATGAGCTGCAGGAATGGGCGGAGGCAAATCCCAGCCTGGAGCCTCACGACACCAACACCTGGGCGACTTGGCTTGGTGGACCACTTCGCCTCAAGGCATGTCTCGGTGGAGGCGACCAGGTGTCTAGCTGAGGCTTCGTGGTGGCACATGAGGGCGCCATATATGACACCTGTTCTTGACGGTGGTTTGCTGAGGCAACATTCGAGAGCGCCGCCACTGGTGCTATTACTCTGGGAATCTCTGGGATAAAAAACAGAAAACACTTATATCAGTTTATATCTCCATCAACTGGACCCTCGAGTCTTGGGTGATTCTCCACCTTTGCTTCACCAGTTGAGATTCTCGTCGCCTCGATTGACTCTCCATGATTGGTAGTGATTGCCTCTTGTGACCCAGAGACTCCATAGATTCTAAAGATCCTTTAGCACATCACATGCGTCACATGTCCGGTTTACCTTAGACTCACGGATCGATAGGTCAAGGTGAAACTAGCCTAGTCTCCGCTGCGAACGCAGTCTTGGGGATGTACGGACGAACAGCGCAGTGCCTGGCTTGGAGTTGTGGGGAAAGAGTTGGAAGATCGAAGCTCCCTGAGTACCCGCCCGTTCGGCTGCCTGGGAGGGGGATGGCGAGTGGGTTTTTTGAGGCGAACCAGGGTTTAGTTGCTCACGGCTGGGGATGTGTTCGATGGTTTTCCTGTTCGTGTTGGGCGTCTGTTGCTCGCCAACCGGATCCAGGAAAGGCTCTTGGAGTTGGACTTGGACCCATCCAGCTCCGAGCTCTCGCATCGCTTCGAGCTTCAACCTGGTTCGTTGTGGCAGGCCCGGTGGACCTGGTGGTGTGTCGGGTTCAGGTTCTGGGATGCTGGGGTGTTTCTACACGTTTTCAACCAGCAGATGGCTGTATAGAAGGGTGAAGCCGCCAAGACAAGCGAGAAACAGGTGAGAACCCAGGCCTTTCGCGTGTTCCGCAGGTCAACACATCTGGGAATGAGCATGTTGAGATTCCTTTCCAGAAATTATATGAAATTATAGAATTTCTCATGTGATTCAATTCGATTCAGGGATTATTTCTCATGTGCCGTTTTGTCTTCCAAATCTATTGTGTGTGTGTCACACCCTGGTTCTAAGGGTTTTCCACGTTCTCACCTTTCTAACGGTTTTCCAGCAGGGGCACTGAGCACTCCTTGGCAAACTCAGTGCAACGAAGCTATGCCTTGGAGTGGGAAGCACGGATTGATCACCCGTGTGTACCTGCAACAATTTGGAACTGTTGAACACGCTGTCTCATTTGCTCTTTTTGTTTCCATGGTTCTTCATGCTACCTACCCCTCAAACCATTTTCTTTCAGCCACTTTTCAGCAGCCGCGCGTTCTGTCGCCTGACACCGCAGTTGTGAGAGGAACATTTTTAATCAATACTGTTCGGCCGACTCACTCGCCTTACCGTTCCCTCACCTTACTTCTCAACGTGGCAATTGAGTCTAACTGAAAACCCAAGTTCGAAGTGTGGGGTTGGTTGGTCCTTTTCTAAAAATCTTCGATCTAACCTCCTCGGGCCGCATGGACGAACCGCAACGGCCCCACCAGGTGGCAGCTGTCGGAGTGTCGAAGGACGGCTCCATGGGCAATGTGGTGTGCATCCAGATCCGGGCGCCGGAGCAGGAGACACTCATGCAGGCCGCCGTGGCCGGACGCCGTGACGGTGGTTCCGGTATATGGGTCAGTCCTGGGGTCAGTCCTGGTATGTCGGTTTGGGAGGGTTTGGGGGGAGGTTGGATGATGGTGTTGTGGGGTGTGGATGGCGTATGATGGCATGAATTTAGGGGTTTCACCCACAATTCATGTAATTATAGAGTCTTGAAGCCCACACTCCAAAGGAGATGAAATAGACGTTTTAGATAGACATGGACAAGCACAACATCAATGTTGACCACCTGTTCTAGTGCCGACCAGTTGATTGAACAGTCAGCCGATTGAGAATCATCTGACACAGTGCACCTTTGAACTTTGCTGGGAGCTTCCGTTGAAGTATGTTGAAGTCATAAGAACTTGATTTGTCGATCTATCTACTAGAATCCGTTTCTACCAGAACCCTTGGACAAGGTGTGTTGAACTATCACCCCTAGAAAAAAGGATATCCATGGCAGCCACCAGATGCATCAAGTATAGAGGCAGTCTTTGACCGCCCTGTGAGACTTCAAGCCTTCTCAAGACTTCTTCCCAGCGATGCAGCCCGGAACCGGGCCAGGTGCGACACTCCCTGGCAGAGGATGCCCAGGTGCAAAAGTGGAGGGGTGGATGCATGATAGCAGCATAGTATATAGCATGCAGGATGCTAGCGCGCGTCAGGATGGGGAACCTCCGGTTTCTGCGGGGTGAGCGATTTCGCAGCTTGCGAACCCGTTCCAGCAAAAGGGGGCCTGATTCTCAAGCATAGAAGTGGCACAGAAGGGCCTAGACCTTTTGAATTTGTCCACACCGGAATGACGATATGCAGGAAACCTGCATGACGGTGGTGTGGCCATGAATACTGCCATGAGAAGCACATGAAAACGGCTATGCCAACAAAACATCTCCAAAAGCACACGGTCCCTGCTTTGCCGTGGTGCGAAAACCCAGCACATCAGCCACTGTCAGATGGCGCCAGGTGCGAAAAGCCTTGGAGGAGAGCAAGGTGCACCGTGCTTTTCGGGTCCACAGTGTTCAACCGCTTGGAAGACTCCAATGGCATGGGGATTCACCAACAGATTTCCTTGTTTTTGGCTGATTCCATCAGCAGTGAAACTCATGGACTCCATAAACTCATTGACTTCGTATATGGCATCCTGACTTGAAATAGCCCCATGGTTGGTTTCTCCGCAGGATGCCACCGGGTGTTGCTTGCCCTGCCCGTTTGCAGGGTTGGTAAATGCGGAGTCTATAGGAATTAAGGATCCTACATACGGACATCAGTTTGGCACCGCGACAACGTACAATAAGTCTAAACAGTGGGCCTTTGTGCTTTCTACCGAGAAACGCTATACCCAGACACTCCATGCATGGAAACGCTATATTAACTATACTGCTTGACGTACAGTGACAGTGACTCATTGGCCAGCCCGTAGGTCATTTATAAGTCTTTCGCACTCCATTCGCCGTCGCTTCTTCCACCTTTTGACGGAAACGCCACGCGGCGGAATGGACACCCCAAGCGCCAGCTCCCTTCCCAGTCGGACCTGTTTTCCCCAGGCTGAGATGCCTGAGGTTGCGGATGCCAAAGAGACAGGTGAGCTCCGATGGTGAGAAGGATCGGACTGTGGAGGACCTCCCTGGAACTCACCACGGGGGGGGCCAACCAAAAACGGTGGAGAACGCATGGCCATGCAGGCATGGCTGCATGGCCGAAGTTCCGTGTGGCTTCCAGGGTGTGCATATGAATCAGAATGCAATTGGGATACCATGGGATACCTTAACCTCCCAAGACGTGCATTTCCAGGCAAGGTGACACAACATGCGGTGTGCTACATCGTGTGCCACATGACACGATGTCATCCACTTGCACATGTTAGGTGTCTGGGACATGCTGCACAGACCTAAGTTGCAGATGATGGCCTTGAGGGAGGGATCACGACCCCAACAATATCATCCATAAGTACTCCGCTGAAAACTACTGGTTGGTAGACCCTGACAAAACCACCGGTTTGTAGAGGAAAACATTCAGACTGAGGGTGCCATTCGACCCGGGTCCATGTTGGTTTTAGGGAGTGTTAGTCCCAAACATTTGTGAGAATTCCCAAGAAATCAACAGCTCGAAGTGAACCTGAACCAAGCAGTCAAAAGCCAAAAGCCCCTTCACTTCACTCAACTGCAACATTTGCAACACCCTGAGCCACTCACACTTGATCGATGTTTTGTCAGGCGCCTCCTCTGCCTCCTCAGCCACCCGCTCGAGTGAGGGAGGACTCGCAGGCAGGGAGACTGAACCCTCCTGGCACCATTTTTCCTTCATGATTAGGTGTCCCTAGATGTCGCTAGGGATCCAAGTACCTCCTCAAAAGGTACGACTGGACCCTCCTGGCACCCACCCCAGTCCCACCTTCTCAGAGGGTACAACTGGATCCTCAGGGTGTAGAAAATGGACTGGATTCCAGTTGCACCACCTGCGGATGCCAATGATTGGCACATTCAGCACGTTCGAACTTGGAGATGACCGACCGCACAGATGTTGGAAAACGTCGTTATTGGCTCCCCCGAAAATGCCACGGTAGTACCAAACTGAATAGGTTCACAAGAGAACCCAGCATGATGCCGTTGCTTCAAGGTTGCTCTAGCTACTGGACTATGAGGATGGTGCCTCGTTCAGGACTCCTTTTTTGGAAGCAATATCTGAAGTCGGCCACTGTTTAGTTGAAACATGTTGACACCAAACCACAGGACCCACCCACTCCAAAAGTTGTTTGTTTCAGGATGGTTCAGAAGTTCAGGCGCTCAGAAGAAACATCTGAAGAAAAAAAGAAAACCACCACTTTCACCATGTTTCACCAAGCCCCCCTAGATAAAATATCACTGACATTTTTCGTAGGTCCTCTCCCCTCCCCTCTACAGAAAGTGGTGGATCTCAAAAGCATGTTGAACAGATTCGAACAGATTTCCACTCTGGAGGCGAAGCCACTGGCCATCGCTGCGAAGAAGACACGGTGCTGAGTGGCTCGGTCGAGCGGCACTGGAGTGGATTCCTGGCGGCCAAGCCCCTCCAGCACTGCGCGACCACTGGTGTTTTTGGGTGGCTTGTGAACTTTGGATGTGAAGAGGCAGTGCTTATGGAACAACGCGTTGCACGAAACGTATATACGTAGATTTTTGGTGTTTTGTTTGTTAGGATTTCTGGTGTTTTTGTTGACCAAAACGTGCTGGACACCAACTCGTTCTCTACAGTACTTGCTTGATGAACTCAGTTCAATCACCAGAACCATCCCTGACAAATGCATCGATGGCGGATGGCGGCCTTCGACGGCCAGTCCAAAAATGTGGCTTCTGGGCTTCATTTTGCATAGTGAACCTTCGTGACTTCCAGGAACCCTCCTTAGGAACCATAAAGAACCATAGGGCTTGTCTCCTTAGGAACTCTCCAATCTTGAGGACCTCAAGATCTCTATGATTCAAAGGCATGGGACCGTAAGGTTTTTGGATGGTGCTTGGGAAAATGGAATCCACATTGCATGGGTTGTCAAATGTGTATGACCGTATGGACTGGCCTGTCTATGTGATCAGGCCACGACCAAACTCAACCCCCCTTATGTTGGCCAAGCTTTTTCTCAAAAAGGTGAAGAAGACGAGGAGGGCGACGCTGAGGAGGTCACTGCACCGGATGGCACAGACACTTGGCGATGGGGTTCATGGCGAGAAGTGCCATGTGTGGCCGGTGGATGGACAGCTTATCCTACCCAAAGACCCATAAAGACCGGGGGGGCTCTTATGTTGTTTCATCTGTTTTGGGTTGATGTTCGGAAACCGGGTTGATGTTTTTGAACACCCTTCAAGAAGCCCCAAACATGCTTCATATCTTGGATGGTGCTTGCTTTCCATGAAAAAAGCATAGATGTCACTTTGGAGGGCGAGATGAAGCAAAACTAGGGGGTCTTGAGAGGCGTGAATCTGACGTTGCCGTTGCTCCTCTGGTTACAAGAGAAGAAGATAGCAAAACACAAGCAAGAGCTGCAGGAGGTATCATGGGGTGATCGAATGACACATGATTGTTACTGTAAATCTTTGGTTCTGTTTGGAGGCACATATGCTGATGTGGGGAGGGCCAGCGAGAAGGCCAAGGTGATTCGAGCATCGTCAGACGCCACTCCAACACCTCCCGCTCTTCATACCCTCCCACTCAGTGGAGAACGCGAAACACCTTTTGCTCGGGGGGATTGCTTTTCCCACCATGCCAAGTCATACCGTACAATCAAATTTGTATGGAACAAGGTTCTGAGCCATGTTAAACCTCTCCCAGCTGCTTCCGTTCGGGGTCACCTGGCTGGCTGAATATATAAACGCCTCCAAGCAGGGTGTCCTGTCACGTGCGTCTGGCATGTTCCCAGAAAAGACTGATGAAAAACCATCAGTCTCTTCCCTGAGGATAGAGGCGCTCTTTAAGAGGTTTACTAATCAAGCCACAGACTTGGGGATGGTAGGATGGCAAGGTCATTTTGGACGCCAAGGTCACCCGGCGCCGACGCCGGCCACCGGCCGAAGCGAACTCGAAGGCAGGCAGTCGAAGCTGGGTGTTACCAAGTCTGGGCTTATGGAATCTGTTTTATTAACAACCACTCAAGTTCCTTGTCATGTGTTCTAGTATGTTTAAGATGGAATCTTCATTCCATGTTGCCTTCTGTGGACAAAATGCGCTTGCAACCCGGCAAGATGGATGAACACCACACCCAAAAATGAGGGGTCACAGCATTCACTCAACCATCAACAACCCTGGAGCTTACTGTAGCGTCTCTTACAGTTTTTTGTGCAGTGTGCTGCCCAAAATACGAACCCTGCCATCCCACCACAGACCAAAGTTCTGGCATGTTCCGAAGTACTTTGCATGGTTGCTGATTCTCTTTTTCACCAGCGGTAGACATAGGACGGGAATGTGTGCACGGCTCACCGGGAATGTGTTCCGTCCGGTCAAATCCCCAAGCATCAGGGCCAAAGAAACACTGGGACGCAAGAAAAGAACCCAGAGACTGAGACTGAGGTCTTGTGGGATCATCACAATCCTAACACCTCACTGCAACAAAACAACCCACAGACGCTTGTGGCCGTCGAGCAGCTTCGGATCGCGCCCT